CAAGTAATCTTATCATTGATGCACTTCTATTTAATTTGATGTAGTCATATTATGAACAAGAGAGTGGGGATGACCTCAAGGGTTCATAACCTTAAACCATTAGATGTACATAACATAATAACACAAGAAACAAAAATATGTCTAGTCAAATGGAAAAATTTTCTACTATTTAGGAGTCGCATGATCATTTGTCATTTCAGGGACAGGGAGCGGCTAGGGAGATTGGAACCCCCCCCCCCCCTGGAATTTGCAGAGTTATTTAAATAGGACTATATACTGATTTACAGAAGCAAATAAAAAATGACTTTGGATGCCCTCCCCCTTTAAAAACATGGACCCCACCATCATTGTTTTTATTTTGTTTGTTTGTTTGTTTGTTTTTTATTTTGCTCCTCAGGAAATTCTGGGCTGGAATTTTTTTGGACCGAGGTGTGGACCCCTCTCCCCCCCCCCCCCCCGGAAAAAAATTCCCGGATCTATGCCTGTAACTGAATGTAATGTCGACAACGGGAGATAACTCTTCAGAATGTGAAATTCGTCTATTGTGGCATCGATGATCCACTCTCTACGATCGGCTCATACATTCAGTGTCTGAGAGAGAAACGAACGACAACTCTGCATAGGAGATTGCCGATGATCTTTGATTCTTTTTAAACTTTAACCTAACCATTTGCATTTTGGTTTATTTTACCCCAATCTATACTTAAACTTGTACTTACCGACTGTCATAGGTCCTGTCAACTTCATGAAATACAATCCAATTAAAACACAAAATGAATTAATTTCCACTGATATACATGTAACACTGCACCATGTCACATGGCATGTGCAATCTAAAAATGATAATGGTAAAACTAGTACTAGTACTGGTAGGGTGACGCAAGCCCAATGTGATGTAGAAATTTTCAAAAAGGTGTTCACATACATGTACAGTACAAGAACAAATTTTAAATTATCATAACAAACGATGTTTTAACATAACTTTGCCATCTAGGCCTATTTCCAAAAACAGGCAAATTGTGTGTGTGTGTATTTGGGGGGGGGGGGGGCACATATAAATTGATTGGGTATGGCTTTTCAAGGAGGTTTTTGCCTAATCAAATACTAAAAAAAGTTTGCACATTTTGATAAATTCATCAAAAACGCTTTGTACTAAAATAATATTATTTGTTGTTGAGAAGATAAATTTAATTTAAAAAGTTCCAATTATGGGCCAAAAATTTATATCCCCCCCCCCCTTTTTATTAAAACCTAATTTACAACATTAATTAAATTCTGATATTTCAGACTGGTAATGAATTAAGTATATGAAATGCGTATAAGAGGTTCATGGGTCACATGGTCACCTGAGCATTTTATGCTCGATTTGACGAATACATGTACTGTGTAAATTATAGAATTATTTGGACTTTTTCCTTGGTAAGCCCAATATGAAGGAGTGTGCATTTAGAGGCAAACACCTTAGTGCGGGTATTACTGTCTCATGACAGCATCTAGTTTTAATTTGCGTTAACTTTGTGTTTCAAAGCTTTGTATTTATCAATTTTAATTTGTGTTTGTTTTTAATTTCATAACCTCAAAACCAATTTGTCCGCGTACACTGCACATAGAAAAAAAACAACTTGGAATGGCATTATCATAACTTGCGTTACAGACCTTGAAAAATATTGCTTCAAATAAAAACCGTGAATCTTAAGAAAAAGGGTGTGAGATTTGTTAAATCCACTTTTCGATGAACAAAATATTTTATATAGCCAATGCTAATAATTTAATTCAGAGACAAACACAGTACTTTGCATGTACATACTCATTATTTGATTAACAAAATCGAAAATTATATGCCTTCATGTAAATCTGTGTAGTGAATTCGACAAGAAATGCACACGAATTCTCGGGAAGGGATTCAGAAGCTTGTAGTACACTCTAACGGGCATAATTCCCTAAAACTAAAAGTTATGAAAATAAGGATATAATATTATGTGTATGATTTACATATAGAGTTTATCCACGTCAGCTATGAAAATATGCGCATGTCGTCTTCAAAGCAATGCAGCATGAAAAGGCAGACACTTGCATTGATATCGATCAGTAAAAGATCGATCAACGGTCACCGTCGAGTGGGGAGCCAAAGGAAATTTTAAAGGGATGTATTTAGTTTTAAATCAAATTCTTGGTATAATTTTTTTTTATTGGTACCGGTACTCATTACAGTACATGTATAACTTGATTATCAGTAACCCCCCCCCCCCCACTTCTATTTACATAGAGACAAAATACAAATAATCGAAATGCAGAATAACAGAACACTAACATAGAAGAATCAAAATTCACTTTTACGTCCCTTTTTATAAGCTACATAGAGATTTTATTTCTAGTTCAGTTATCAAATTATACGAAATCTGATGTTATTTTGTTACTTGTGGGAACAATACGCAAAACACGTCACATTGCTTCTTTATAGAGTTATCCTTGCCATTCCCGGATTATAATACTAGCTTGATTATGTTTCTTTTACATGTGTCTGATAAAAAAAAATCTTTAAAAATATACCTAACAAACTGCTGACATGAATTGCGAGACGATACATCTAGTCATCTACTAAGATTGCATTATACACAGGACAACTATGACTAAATATTCATTGCTATAAAACATGCAATCTAAAGCGTCATAGAAAAATGATAAACTTTAACTTTTAAAATGATACGGATAATCTTCATTTATTTTCTCAAAAAATAGAATTATAAGTACTGAAAAAAATGATTGGGTAGGGGTGATATTGACAGATCGGTCGTAGTAAATAAAAAAAAATCATTTTTTATTGTTGGCCTTATCTAAATTTGGTGAACTGTGAGTTACACATATTACATAATGCTTTCAAGTTGAAAACAGATATTGAATCACTGGTAGTCCATAGAAGATGACTTTGCTGAAACTTACTATATATTCAATTATAAAACTAATTATATATGATACAACTATCAAAAAACTATTTAATTCTCATTTCACCAATGATAAAATCAGAGAAGAAATTTCTTTGATATTATAAGAATTACACGTAACTTTCATATTGTTTCAATTAGAACTTCTGCATACATTTTTCATCCCTTCTGATTTCTCCAATCTATGCCTTCATCATTTCAGTCAGTTGCACAAGATACTGAATTTCCATATTTAAAATAAAACCAGAATGTGACTAAAAAAGGGAATTTATTAATATTGTCATCCTCATAGAAGTTTAACATGCACTATTCATTTAGAACAAGTAGACAACCGTCCTTTGATATATAATATTACAGAACTCATTTTCTTTTTTGGCAGCATATGTTATAAACTAAATCAGAAGTTCCTTATTGTTTTTAAGTGTTTTGTTATATGATCTAGATAAACATCCACTAGGAGTAAATGCTGCAGCACTTGTGTATAGTGTCGACAGATAGTATTAAGGAAGTATGCTTATCATTTGAAGAGAAAGCCCCTCTTAATTCTCCCTCTTACAAGCATATCATTATTAAACTGGTCATGAGTTTATTATTTTCGATTTGATGTCACATTATGTGCATACTTGTACATGGAATATATTACTGGTATACTGTAAACAACCTTCATTTTAAGCGATTCTGTGATGTTGGCAAAAGTCGAAATGTTCCACAAGATAAAGAGGGTTAGTTTTCCTCATCTTTTATTTCTTACATACGTAGCGCTTTCTTGGAGAAGCACTCCATCCTCCCTCTCTTAACGTATGGCTTGTTTCATTATTGTTTCGTTACTTCGGGCATGTTTATTCATTATTTTTGTCACGACAAGTGGTAACCAGCTCTTCCTTGTCTACAATTTCCCTCCAAAGTGAGAACCATACTCCCAATATATCTTTGTGTCAGGTACGAAATGATGTGGAAATTAATGAAGAGTATTTTTTGTATAAGTTAATCAAGGGGCTTCTAATTTGATTGCTTATGAACATGAAATAACCAGGAAGTCTGAAAACAAGTTAATAATTACCTTAACAGGTTCCTTATCTGTTGTAAATAAAGTGAATTAATAGAGTTAGTTATTGCATGTATTAAGAGCAAAGGCTTTTTGACTATTTTAAAATTGCATACAATAATTTTATGAAACACCACATGATACACCTGTTCGGTGCCTGGTAGATGTGAAGTTGACTAATTTATTAGTAATGGATACTTGAGAAACGAGTCAATTTAATTTGCATAAAATAATTAATTTTGTGACACAACAAGTCATATACACACATGAAGGACTGAAAATACATAGGCTCTTTTGGATAAGTATACTAGTATTTAATTTCACACTCAACAAGCATTGTAACCGTCAACATCAGATGAAGTACGGTGCTTTTACAGCTTGCTTTTCTAAGATTTTTTTTTTTATTTTTCAAACAATTTAAAGCTTTGCTATTTTTGTACACTAAGGATAAAAGTATTATTTTATAATATTTTGCAATCAATCAGTTATACCTATTTTCAAATATACCAATTGTTGAAAATATAGTCAACTCCTATATTTCGTATTAATACGTGAATACTTGAACATACATACTCCATACAAGTGAAACGAACCAATCTGTCGAGATTTCTTTATGGTAATTGTAGTTCCAGCAATGAGCAAATGAAAAATGCATTTTTATGAAAATAAATGAAAATTTAGATTATTTTTCTTCCTTCTAGACACATAATTATAATTAAATGGTTTTTATTTTATTCTCATCTGAGTCTATATGAAATAAACTTTTGGTATTCCATGTCGAAAATTTAAATAAATTTTTAAAACTCTAAATAGATGTATACAGATAAGTACAAGACTTTACAAAAATATTTTACAACACTAAATACATGTTTACAGAGAAATACAAGACTATATTATATACAAAGAAAAAAATGTGAAACATTAATTCATCATTAAAAGAAATGTTCTTCAATTTCCAGATGTACACAGAGTTTATTACGGTATATGTTTGAACATCTCCCTGATAAAGATGATCACGTGGTATTATCTTGCTGTTCCTGTTTTGGTGGTGCCTTTTTAGAGAAATCCACGAACGTGTACTCTGTCCTCTCTTCTTCTCCGTGTATGACTGGTCTCCCGTTTGTATCTGAACTTTGTGGCTTTTTTGTAAATTCAACATCGATGTAAACTAAACCATCCTGATTCTGTAAAAGATAAAAGATAATATTCAATATATTTAAATTATGATATTTTAAAAATAACTCCTGATCACAGAAACAGGCAGTGGATTGTTCTGTGGGGACTGCAGAGTCATGTCTATCACAAAAGGGAAATAACTTGGTTTCAAAAAGGATAAAAACTTCTAACACGTATACCCTATTTTTTTTTTTTTAGATAAGGAGGACTTTTGCAGAAACACAGTGCCAAAATCCGTTTTTCTAATATGTAATAGCCAGATAGAGTAATCAGGATAGTGTTGATCTCACGTATTTTATTTCAATTATAAAAGGAATGGATCCAGCTTAAGAATAAGGGACAGAGGGATCTTTCTGAATTGGTGATACCCTATCCTTTCACTAGAGTTTTAATATTTATGGTTTTACACGACAATGTAGAATATACATGTATAACGAATAATGAGGCGACCACCTTGGATCGATCTCTCCAGACATTTGGACTTCCGCAGGACCGCTACATTTATTATGCACACACAAAGCAGGAAATATTCCTTCAATATTATAGTAGATATATTTTATCTTCGTTGTTATACCTAGCTTTTCCTGCTTGTCGGACAAATTTGGGATTGGGTTTTCACTGTGCGTGATCCACTTTGTAAGGAATCCGAAATTGATCATTGTCGCCCGCGTGGGGCAGTGGTTATAGTAGATCCTTACGTCGCGGGTTAGTATCCACTGCGTGACGTGGAGACCGGTCCTTCGGATGAAACCGTATAAACCGAGATCCCGTATCGCAGTAGGTACTGGCACGAAAAAGATCCCTCACTGCTCTATCGCTCTGAGTGCCGACCATAGGTCAACATTTGTAGCCCTCCACTGGCAAGTGGTTGTGTCTCCATATGAGAGTAAAATTCTCGAGAGGGACGTAAAACAACAAACAAACAAATAAATCGATCATTTTACGTAATTTTATTATCACAAATAAATTTATCGGTTTTCATACAAACTCTGTAGATGGATCATCTCACTTTTTCTGAACTAAAACTTCTGATACTACTTGCAATAAACATCATACCACTGTACGTGTATCCTTATTCCTGTTAGAAGCACCTGCATCTTCTTTTTTTCCTTGCAACTCCTTTTTTCCATTTTTTTTCTTTTCTTCTTTCGTTGAATCTGTTTGGTTATATATATTGGGCCTTTTTATCACTTCTGAATACAGGGTTCCGTTGTCATCTAATTAAGTAAGGAACACTCATTAAACATACTTTCTCAATTACTTGTGGAAGCATTTCCTAGAGAAAACAGAGTAATTAAACGTTTGAGCATTTATCAGAAAGTTTAAAAGATGAAGCGTTGCTCTGAACCAAATGTAAGGAAATCGATATTTGTTGAAACTGGACTTACGTTAAAATTTCAGATTGATTATAAAACATGTAGAAATAATTTAAATTTCAGAATTTTGAAAAACAGGTTAACGTTATACAGTTAAGTGTTTGTAATGATTGGAGAGAGAGAGAGAGAGAGAGAGAGAGAGAGAGAGAGAGAGAGAGAGAGAGAGAGAGAGAATGTGACCATTTTTATTCTTGATGGTATCACTCTCCGCTACGTCATCTTCTTGTCTGTTCTTAAGCAGGACAGCCTTGTCAACAGCAGCGTACACAACAACTTCCACTGGAGTATTATCCTGTTCTGTAGCTATAAAATATGAATTTATTGGAAATGTGAAATAAACACAGACAAACAGATTTTAATATTTTATAGATTTAGACAATCGAGATCATCCAGAGTAGTTCTAAACGCTCACATTTCGAAATTCCCTTGCACTCTCACATATATATAATATGAACAACGAGGTGATGTTTATTGTATTCCCATATTCCTGTTATTAAAAAAAAATATAACATCCAACAGGAACTGTCCTGAGAACTGATTATTTAATAATAAACAATATTCACTCTCTTGATAACCCCAGAGACATTTACTGTACGGAAGAATTATTAGTTACATAGTTTTGTAGTGACAGGGTACGGGATGATACCTGGTTAGTAAATTTCATACCTGGCGAGGCGAAGCCGAGCCAGGTATGAAATTTACTAACCAGGTATCATCCCGTACCCTGTCACTACAAAACTATGTAACGAATTTACCCCACCGATGAAATGTTTATGGTCTGTGGTTTGTAAAATTGTTTTTCTCCGCTATATGCTTCATCAATCATACAATGCCTATTATGACGTCACGTTGTGTTACGTAATGTTGTTTTGCGAGTGTTTCATAACGTACTGACAGTTTCTAAGACTTTTAGTAAAGTGAGAAAAAGGTTCCATCTCGTTACTTAAGTTGATTAACTTTTTACTTATCAACAGACACCCGCAAACCTCGTGAACTCGAGTTGTTTGAAGTGTTACAAAAGAACGATAACTCCGCATCAACCATGTATTGATTTTCAAGCAACTAGGTATAAGTAATACACCCCCTTCACGTGACAGACTTCAACCAATCGGAAGCAAGGATTTCATCGAAAAATCATCAGAGGTGGGGTAATTTAGAATACATGGGTATAAGAGGATAGACAATAGTGTATGTGTACATATAATCAGAATGTAGCACTGTGACTGGGTATGTGGCGGTTGCTGCAACCATGAATTAGTGCTACAGATTTCCGCACAGTGCATTGTAAGCATTCATGATTTATCAACGGTATTCATGAATTAACGCATCGTTGTCTGCTTCAAAGCAACTGAAATACGTACCTCGCTTTTTAAGTACCCATACAGTATATTAAGATTGTCATTAATGTAAGATGGATAAAGTTTTTGATCGATAAATCTTAACATTTTACAAGTATGTTGAATTAATGAATTTATACTATTATAACCGGACCCTCAGTATGCTCAGTATAAAGTGTCTTTACCTTTATCTGTCTGCTTACATCCACTTAGTCTTTCTTCAGTGTTTCTTTTCTTCGGGGTTGACTTTTTCGTTTTACAGTACATCGTCATCGCCAATGTTAGAATCACAACAAGGCCAAAAGCAGCTATGGAAGCCCCAATAACAATTATCATTGTAGTATTACCAAACAGAAAGGACGAGGCAGGCAGAGCTTTAAATAAAATGAAAATGTGGTCACCTAGTATTAATTATTCTTAATAATCAGACTTTCAGAATAAAACGATTGAAATGAAATTGATTTATTCACTTGCATACCCCTAAAAATACTGAAGTAAAATACAATATAGTAAAGTGAGCTATAATATTCCAAAATAATCAGTTCCTAAACTTTATCTCTTGTAAATCAACATTTTAAAGTGTTTTTCAAATAGTTAGGTAATCCCAAGTTTTTTCTATGTTTATCGTCCGGGTTTGCCCTGGTTTTTGACACCCAATATCAGAAAAAAATTAAACCCAGACAAAATCAGGAGTGCTGACATTGATTATTCTGATCGAAATCATAAAGTTCTGTAAATTTCTCTGAATATCTGTCTACAATATCCCATATTATGTATATTTTAAGCATTTAATGCCTTGATTTTGCCAAAAAAAAAAGAAAAAAGAAAAAAAAGATCTTTCAACGAGAAAAATAAAATAATGAAATCAAATCCTTTGAATGACATCATTTTTATGATTACAAAGTATGTGTTATTTTTTTGGCTTGTGTGTTTTTTGCGAATAGGTAGGTAGGTTTTTGAAAGATGGGTGGACGCTAAACAGAGAAAAAAAAACTTGGAATGGCCTAAATGAAAGTGTCAAAATTTCCCAATGGTGATTTCATATTTTGCTTATATAATGTTAGAATTCTTATTTTTATCGAATGTCTTTTTAATGTTTTGTATTTAAACAATCTTTTCTGGATTTATCTTCATGAATATGGATTTCAGGAGATATTTTGCCTATTGAACTCAAAATAATTATAGAATAAAGTTTCAAAGTAAATCAAATTATTATGATGAAGTATCAAATATTTTTTTTCAAAAAGTAGTACATGTTTAAAAGCTTGATAATAATTCATAGTTATAAAGAATGTAACACAATAAACTTAGAAAACCAAAATGTTTTTTGCTTGAGACCTCCGGTTATTTAAGTTCTGGCTATATTATAATTAAGATTTCTTTGTATGAGAATTCTTTAAAACAAAGTTTTTTAACTGCACTAGTATGTAGACAAAAAGAGTAATATAATACTAAATAGATAATAGTTTTATGCAATATTAGGAGACTACTTTGTAACATGAAAGAAGCTACTACACCTTGAACTTTGACTTTAACTTTCCTGGGGCTGAAAGAACAATTGATTCTGTTACAGCTCTCCAGTCTATACAAGTATTCGTGTCCTGGGGATAAAGATCCTAGGTCATAATATCCCATGTTACCTTCCCCAGGGTCTGTCAGATTTTTAACAACTCTCCAATTGGGCCCTTCTTTCATTGACAAGATAAAGATTTGTTCTGGTCCTCCATTAAAGTTTGATACCCAGGTAAGATTGATGTAACCACTATCGTAGGAATACCATGAAAAGTTCAAAGGTGGCTGAGGTTTATCTTAAAAATTAAAGCTAAAAATTTATGAGGGGCCAATGGTAAAACAAAAATGTTTTCATTTATCTCTTAGATTAAAAAAATGTTGATAGATATCTCATCGATAAAAAAAAAAACAGAATCGGGTTAGCAAAGTACTAAACAAAAACAATGTATTTTTGTCAAATAATGATAGTGGTAAAGAATTAAAACGCGGATGAGACCTAGGGGTATTTTTATTTATTCAGATTTTACATAAAGCATTTTGGGGTAAAGTCTCCTCAGAGACCCCTTATAATCCGCACCAGGTGTGCCTACGGCTCTCTGGATTGGATAGCATAATCTTTGTATACATTGATATTATAATAATAATAGTACAATGACTATCTTTCTTAATTTTTTTAAGAATATAACAATGAAATAATTGATAAAATTCTCTAAACAAAATTGATCTAGAAGTATTCCGTATTTTTTCCCGTTTTTTATAATGTCAAAATTTATACAGCACAAATGATATCTGGTTATAACCTTGTATATAAACATTGAGTTATCCTTGACTTCTTTTTCCTTAAACACTCAGATGATACAAAAGAGTCGAGGTAAAATTAAAATTTACAGGTGATAACAATTTACTGCTTATGAAATCGTGTTATCATGGAGGTCCCCTTTCGCCGTCCAAAGTCCATTTTGACCCCCACTTGTTAACATGTTATTTTGGTCAGGCTACCCAAGAACAGCTGAAGAAACATTGGATTTCACAAGTTATTATATAATTAGCAATAAATATTTAACATGAAGAAAAAAAATACTCTATTAACTAAGCAATACATATGTCTTTCAACATTTACACACATTTCAGCTAGTTTAAAAATTTTATATGACATTTTTATAATATAATAGTACATCAATAAATTGCTCTCACAAATTTTAATAAGACATGGTTCACAATTTACATGACATTTGATTTGATATTTAAATATTTTCAGAGCTATATAAGAAATGAGTGTGTTCAACATTTCAGATAACCGAGTTTCTTAAAAACAAACAAACAAACCAATTACCATATTTTACCAGCCAATATTGAACTTTAATGATTCACTTTCTTTTTCCCATATATTTGAAGAATCTTTACACTTATATAAAATTAAAGATGTTCTCTTTTTTCTATTTCACCACACTTGTGACAAAATCTGTGCACATCAGTATTCCATTTACTAACATTCAGATTATTATTCAACAGTTTATGTAACAGTTTATAATTAAAATCAGCAATTTGTGTATTGAACATTTTGGTAATTTTCATATGAAAAATTTGTGGCCATAATGATCTAGGAATATCAAATAAATCAGTCCAGTATTTTACAGTTACAGGTTGGAAAAATTTCTTTGCTCTCAATATATTGTAGAAGAAGGAGGATTTCTGACTCTCCAAATTACAATAAATATCTCCATAAAATAAAGCAAAGTGATAGTTTTTAATGTTGACATGCTGAGCTTTTCTACATTCAAATATCTTATAGTACTTGTTAAACACTGATTTCATCATGAAATATTCTCAGAATATATGTCTTTTATCTAAATTTTTTTTCTAAAAAGTATGAAATACCATGTAATCTTTCATTTATATCAGAAAGATCTTTTGTGTATAATACACCTGATTTTATCCAGTTTGATAGAAATATTGGCTTGTTTTTATGCATAAATTATGTGTTTTTCCAAATAGGTTATGACAGGAACTCACCTGTAGACATTTTTTTCATATCTTTTTTTTTTTTTGGCATTTATTGAATGCACACAGTGCTTCTTTGTAGAAACAAGGAAGGAAATTTAATTCTTGATAATGCTTTATATCTTGCAAATTTGTTTTGAGTAAGTATTCAAGAGTTACATTTTCTTTACTAAGAATGTTTTGTATAAAAGATACTAAACTATTGTTGGATTTAAGAATTTTTGCAATCCAAAAGGATTTTGCAGAGGGGAACCTCAAAGATATTAATACCACCATCCTCCTCTTTTCCTATAAAATTGTTCCTTTTTATCCTATCTTTAGCATTCCAAATAAAATTATAAATTATTCTATTGATTTGTTTGAAATATTCCCCGGGAGGGTTAGGAAGAATTTCTTACTAGCTATATACTGAAATTTTGTATGATAAGATTATTTACAATTTCTTTCTTACCAAAAATTGTCAGTTTTCTTTTTTCCCATGCTTTAAAGGTATCAACAATTTCATTTATTTTTTCATTCCCATTTTTTCCTCACAAAGTCTTTTGTTGTGTCCTATATAGATTCCAAGTGTTTAAACTGGGTCATTTGTTGCTTTTATTCCATATACATTTTTACATGTGTCTTTTAAAGGTCCTAGGAGTATACATTCAGATTTATTATCAGCATGTTGTAACATCTTAATTTCACATTGATCGTTGACTTGAAACCCTTTTACCTGATAACAGCTAATTTTTGAGATAATGGTAGTTCACCATATTCAAAAGATTTTAACAGTGAATCACAAAAGTAGTTTTTTACATGATTCCAAAATAATTTGTAAAATTCGACTGGTATGCCATCTAGAACAGGGGATTTTTTTGTTATCCATGCTTTTAATTGCCTCTTCACACTCTTCACATATTTTTTGTTGTTCGGTATTAAGTTTTGTTTTTAATTCAGTACTTTTTAGATAATTTCTAATGTCTTCAGTTTTGGGGTTTTGTGATGTATACAATTTTTCATAGAAATTACATAATTGTCCCAAGATATCATTACTACTAAAGAAAGTTTGGTTATTCAATAACATTACTTTGTTGATGTTTATTTTCTAGTTTTAAGAAGAAAGGGGAGCATTTCTCTCCACACTTAACCCAGTTTGCTCTAGATCTAATGTATGCTCCTTCTATTTTTTTTTATCATATATCTGTTATTTCCCGATCATGACAAGGAGCACACGCGCGGGTATGTTAAGGCTACACCCAGAGATATACTACTTGCCTTTACAATATGACGTCATAGTAAACTGTGTGACGTAATCTCTAGAAATAAAAATTTCTTAATATCTATATTTAAAGTTTAAAATCAGGTCCAAGAAATGAATGGAATCATTCAAAAACATAATATAAACTAAATCTTGTCTTTTTTGGGTGGTATAAATAGCCAAGTATTTATCACGGGGGTTAAATACCAAACCCATGACATAATAACTATTGATCAAATATTTGCCGAGTGAAAATGAAACGTGACGAGAATTCATGTAAAATATATATGAAATGAGAGTTTTAAAGCATATACCGTTAATGATGTGTGTGATTCATAAGGAATGAAAGATTAAGAATCATGTGCGCTGATATATTCTTATCATGTTTTCTTATAATAAACACAGGCAGTGCTTTGAAATCCCGATCAGCTTTCCTCTGTCGCTCTATAACAACAAAGATGCAAAAGTTCAACACTACGCCGCATACTGTGAAATATAATTTTGTTTGTATCGAAAGCTTGTATTCTATAGTACTTGGAAAGTGCTGCTAGAATCGTGTGGATAACATGAATTGATGACAATTCCTTGATCGTATGTATAAAATGTAAAAATTTTGGTAAGGTTTCATGCGAAACTTTGAAATATTTTTTTCTGTGTTTGGAGAGAAGGATTCTTGCAGCACTTTTCATGTTCCAGTGATGTTTTTACATAATTATTTTCACAAAAAGAAATGAATTATCTCCGGGGTAGTGTTGAACTTTTCACTTTTTCATTAAGGCAATTTTTCTATTTATAGACGTCACGTGATGACGTTGTAGTGGAGTGCTTCTTTTAGCATAAGACTCAATGACGTCTATACAATGGATAATAATAGTAAATGTTTTATCTATGGCTTTTCCGATTTATCAATGTTACATTTTACGAAAAAAGTCTAAATTCGCCGAAATATGATCTGTGTACTGCCTTAACGTACCCGCACGGCGGGTGTGACCGGTCGGCAGGGGATGCTCACTCCTCCATGGCACGTGATCCCACCTCTGATGTTTTGGAGGTCCGTGTTTGCTCTACTCCTATTTTGTAATGTTTAATGGACTTTTGAGCTTGAATACTGTTCGTTATATTCATATATTTCATCTGTTGTAAATCTTTTTCTAACATATTTTTCTTGATTATTAACTTCGTTTAAAGGTCTATTTTCAATATTTGTAATTCTTTTTCAATTTCTTTTACTCTTTATTTAGTACTCTTACTTTTGGTTTTAGAGTAGGTTATAGAGTACTCTTTAACAATAAGTTTAACAACTTCCCATCTTTCTTGTGGACATTTTACATCTCTAAGCTCTAGTTCTTTATTTTTTAAAATGTCTTTTAGGTTTGCAGAAGTCCTCATTTACTAAATATGAAGTATTCCTTTTCCAATATCCACAACCTCTCGTTTTTCTTGAGAATAAAATCTACTTTTAGCCCTAGATGATCACTCATCCTAGTGTTATTTACTTTGGGGCATTTTCTTAAAGAAAAAAGAATCTACAGATAATGAAAACTTTTCTGCAAATAAAATATAGTCTATTCTGCTTCTTGGGGTATTGTTTGCATTGCACCAAGTAAGACCAGGTTTATTTTCATGCGTTTTCCCCCAACCATCTATTACTTTTGTTTAATTAAAGAGTTTAATTGTGTTTTAATTGTGATCAAAATAGAAACACCCCTACTAAAAGCTGAGCTTGAAAAGCAATGCAAACTTGAGCCCAGCCATCTGGCATTATATTGATACTCTCTTGATTCTATATAATGAGTTCCTTGTAATAAAACAATATCTATATCTAAATCTTGAAGCCAATCGTATAAAACTATTCTTTTTTCGTATGTATTTAATCCCCTTGCATTTTAGGAGAGAACGCTTAATAATGGGTTAAGGATAATTATAAGATTTGTTCATACCAAAAATTGCGTCAATGGGAGAACAAAGTACATAATAGAAAATCAAATTGTTCAAAAAAAAAAAAAAAAAAAAAAAAAAAAAAAAAATATTAACATTGCTCGCTAATGTCCGTGT